GCAATCTGACATAAAATTATTTTTCAATTTATTTATTTATTTTTTATGATAAGAAAAACACTCACTTCAACACATTTTTTACATACAACTTAACTAGATTTCCAAACCACATTCTAGAAATGAATAGTTTCTCAGCAATCTGACATAAAATTATTTTCCATTTTATTTATTTATTTTTTATGATAAGAAAAACACTCACTTCAACACATTTTTTACTTACAACTGAACTAGATTTATATTGATAAACAAATTTCTTATACTTATGAAACTCTTACTCTCTAATACAAAAAGTAAATAAAATTGAGGTCTTCTTACTGGCTGAGGCCTTAGACAAGTCTAATGCTCCAACCGACCTGCTTGTTGAAGAAAAAAAAATAAAAAAATACATATTATATATATATATATATATATATATATATATAAAATAACGACTACTAAACTATTAAGCTCCTCTACTCATTTGAATCTGATTGGCTCAGGGTCAACTCATTTAAGATTTATAAAGGATTAAGCCCCTTTCTAGGGTTAAACTCGATAGGAATGTAGTAGATAGACTTTGGGCATAAGTTTATTGGGTCCCAATTGATTGAAAGAGAATGGCAAGGCCTTTTTCTAACACCACAGCCACACACCTTTCTTGTGGTCTTTTGCTTGACTAAACTAATCATCAAAGATTTTTCTTTTTAATATTATTATTATTATTATTATTATTTTTTTTTTTTTGGGGAAGGTAATCATCAAAGATTATGTCCACAAATTTGTTATGTTGCATACTTCAACAAGTGATGTGGTGATGGAGTTTGATTAAGACTAGTAGCCTAATTAAATCATATCTTATAATTAGCACGCTTTGTCAAACTCTCAAATATGAGTAACATTTATGGTTTGTTATATTTGACAATATACCGGCCATCTTGTATCATAGACATTGACTAGTAAAAAAAAATGAATGGAAAATCCAACCAACACAAATCAGAGGAAATAGTCTCCTATTAACCTTGTTTAGTATTTGATTTGTACCTTTTTCTATCGGTTATTGGAATAGCTCCACTCAATCAGAATACTCCATTTTTTATTGTGAAGATAAATGAGACATTTTAATTGGCCAGGAGTAATACCCGAGGTATTATATATTTTTTTCATTGTGAGGGACCATGTTTTTAGGTTTTTCCTTATGCGTGTTGGCTTTGACATCTTTGTTCTTAAGGCTCTATATTAGTGCTATAATAATCTAATAATTTTTTACTTTCACTTGTTATTAGTAATTTCTTGTTGTTGAACTCTTGTGAAAATCTGGCACATTGAGTTGTGTGTGAGCGCATAATGATCACTAATGACGTGTGATGTTATGATGACGGAGTTGGTCCGACACATTGAGGTGTGGAATTATTGTTATTGCGCGTGGAAGCGCACAGAAGAGTGATATATTACTTGAGGTGCATGGTGGTGCAGTAATGAATCTGATCCGACACGTTGAACATCTCTAAACAAGACATTTTATTGGGTTTTTCTGAGGAAGACTTAAACAGTGAGTGAGGCTTCCCTATACAAGGTGTCCCTATGCGGGATTTCTCTAAATAAGGTATCTAGTAGCTTGAGACCATGTTAGAAATAAAAGAAAAAAAAAATATTTTATTTTATTGTGTTGTATATAAATAGCACTATAGGATCCTAACTTATAAATACTAATATGATAGGTGTAATTATACCTTGTAATGATGCAAAAAAATATATAAATAAAATCATACCTGGTAATGTGTTGTGTAAAAAATAAATGTGAGAAGTAAAAGAATAAATTTGTAATTTAACAATTACTTTTAAGAACATAATCCATCTTTGCATATCCCCAAACCCGTCATACTTGTCCCTGTTGGGACAGATTTGAAAGTATTGTAATAAATTAGCCAAGTAGGGTTGCGTTTTTAGGAAAAAAAATTAGTAGGGTAACTAAAAAGTTGTTCGATTAATTACTATACGTGTGTATAGGTTGAATTTATTTAGAATTGAAGATTTATTTTTTTCTAAAATAACGAGATAAATCAGATTTGTACTAGTCATTCCGACTTAAGTAGGGATGGCAACGGGGCGGGTTTGGGCGGGTGTACCCTTCCCGCAACAGTTTAAAAACCCTGTCTCCGTCCAAAATCGCAAAAACGGGGAGATTTTTCACCCCATCCCCGTAATCGTTTAACATTTTTATTCTCGCGGGTACCCGCCCCACCCCATTTAAGATCATAATTTATTTATTGTTGAAATAAATTTGTATATTTTTTTTTCCTCTCATCCTCAGTTCTTTACTATTGCAACTTTTCTTCTAATCAAATTCATTTGTTAATTTAATATTATTATATAGAGTATTTAATATATATATATACAAATGAAATAAAAGTACTTAAGTAATTTGTCTATCTAAACGGGACGGGACGAGCCGACTTTTCCCTTGCTCCTGCACCAAACCCGCGCGAGTTTTTATTATATCAAACCATTTCCGCCCAAATAAGCTAAACGATCCCCCAAAATCATATAGAGCGGGGTGTAACGGGTAACTGTCGAGACGAGTCAAATTGCCATCCCTAAACTTACGATTGAAATTCAATAAAGAAAATTTGTGATCCCATATTAGCCCATGCACATTTTACCTTTTACAATTGAATATATGATATAACGTAAAAAGGAATAATAAATATTACGATAAATAAGATTACATCAAATGAAAATAATTTGATTTGAAATCTACATGTCATGGCTCTTGGGGCAATTGTGGGGCAATTGTAGAGATATAACTACAATAATCATCGTCATTGCATGAATTCTCTCTCCTTATTTTATTTTTTTATATGTAATTTTATCTATTATATTTAACTTTTAAAATTAATTTTAATTTACTAAATTATCATATGCAACTTAAATTGAGAATGCAACTATCAGACAACATTGATGCAAACACGCAACACTCATGCAACCTCGATGTAAACTTTATAGTAATACTAATAACTAATAACAGTACTAAGCGTAGCATATTGAATTTTATTACACACTAAAATGTGCCCATTCTATCCCAAAATTTTGGTAATGATACAAGTGAGTATTTCGTAATTAGTGAACTTGTTTAATCAAGTTAACATAAAAAATAATTGTTTAAAAATGTATTACATTAATTTTTGGAATAAGAGATGTATTTTTATACATCTCAAAATAGAAAGATGGACAAAAATTTTGAGATGGAGGAAGTATTACAAAAATATTATATGGATGGGGATTATGTTATAGAGTAGTATTTGTGTTGGGATTTTTTTTTTCCTTTTTTTTTATTCTTAATACTTTTAAAGAGATTTTTTATTTTTATTTTTCACGACGAAAAATGCAATCACACACCCCTTACATACATGTTATTTCGAAACTAGAACCTTTGCTATCAACATTTTAAAAAATAAAAAAGTATTACACAACCCTTACTTTAAAAAGATTTAAAACGCTCTTTATTTTATTTTGAAAGTAAAAGAAATATTACTATGTCACAATCTTTAGTACGTAGTATTTGTGGAGATTTATTATTTATTATTATTTCACCAATCGTGGTTCGTGGAGTGTAATTTTCAAGGTTAACGTGTTCATCAGAATCAATGGAGATGCCAAGTGGACCCACAAGTTGATACAAGTATTCTTGCGTTGGATGTAAATAGATGCAAGGACACGTGTCTCTAAGCGCGTCAACGAATCTGTGTTTATGATCTGTGTCACCACACACGTATTACTCTTTCGAGAGAAACGTGGACCGTTCATTTCTTCCATCAGATCCACCTGTCCGGATCTGCTTAACATGTCAGACCTTTCTCAAAAGACTAAACTACCCCAAAAGAGCTTTGAAAATGTCTACTTGCTTCATGAGGTACTTAGAAATGTCTCGCCCCTCAAACTCATTGCTACTTTTATAATCGCAAATAAACCATATTCACACCATTTGTTGTTTGAAAATTTGGAAAATGTCACTCAATGACAAAAATATATGACAAGTTAGGTGGATTGGAAAACTTATTTCAAAATATAAAACATTTTATCTAAAAAAAGTGAACACAATCAGACAAATTTTCGATACAATAAATTCTTTCAAATCCAAAATGGAACAAGGACAAGTTTAAGATTTTAATTAGACTTGCATGTGTTTGGTAAAGAGAATAATTTTGATTTTTTTTATAGTAATTAAAAATGAAAAGTGTTCAAATGAAACAAAAAAACATAATTAAATTAGTCTTAATTATTCTTTGGAATGCATAAGAAAAGGGAGAAAATTTAATTCAAATTGAACCCAAGGCTTATGAGGTGCGGACTATGTTTGGTAAAAAAAAAAAAAATGAAATGATAACATTATTTACAGGAAAAAAAAGGAAAAGAAAAAAGAAATGATAATGTGAACCACATTTCCTGTTCAGTTAATTAATGAAGAAAACTAAATAAAATGGTAGTAGTCATGTTTGAAAAAGAAAAAAAAAAAAAAGAAGCTATTTTAATAAATTTACTAATTTACACTTTGTCATAAATTTTATTTTTTATAAAAAGTGGACAAATTTGGCATGAAATTTTTTTCATTAAAAATGCTATTATTCATTTATTTTCCTTCCATTTGTAGAGATAACAAATTAACTTATCAAATTTTAATTTATCCATTCAAATTCTTTCATTTCCTTTCAAATGTATATGTCCAAATTCTTCCATTTCCTTTCAAATTTTATACCTCCTCCATTTCCTTTCTTCTTCTTTTTTATATTTCCATTTCTTTCCAATCAAATTGGACCTAAATTCCCAATAAATAAATAATAAGCTTAAACCACAGTCTGAGCCAAAATTAATTGAGGTCGGCTAAATAATTTTTTGAACTTAAATTAAAAATTTCTCCGGTAATAACATAAAAATTAAAGGGTATAATAGTAACAAAATTATCGAACATTGACCAAACCTAGGGAGCCTTTTTTATTCCCAATACTTTTGTCGTCGGACATCAACCCAATGCTGTCTGTTTTCGTCATTTCGTCCCCCCCTCTTTCTCTGCCTTCGGACTCTGATTTTTCTCTCTCAACTTCCTCCCCCTTTATTTCTTTCTCTCTCCACTCAAACTCTCTCTCTCTGCCCAAACAACACAATCTCCTTCAATCTCTGCTCTCCACAACCCATTTCTGAGCTCGATAAGCTTCAAAACCATCCCTAAAAAGCTCATACTTTTCTTCACATAATCCACCGTTACAGAGATTTATTTCAAATGCCAGCTCCTTGATGATGCATACGAACTTTCTTTGCAAGGTAAGATTAGGGTTAGGTAAAACCCATTCCCTCGAAACATTCCCTTAAATCATTTTCTTTTTCTTTATTAGATTTTTATTTATTTTGGGTATTTATTTTTTTACTATTTTTGTATCGAAACCGTGTGGTCGGTTATATACCAAGCATTATAAAACGATTTTAGTATTGTTTTCTTCAGATTCTCGTTAAATTAAGAGTTTTTCAAGTCCTTGGGGCTTCGTTCTTTTTCGAGTTTGCAGGTTTCCCTCATACAGTCATACTCGGCTTAAAATATCTGATTTTTTAGTTCATAAGAGTTTTTTTTGATATGTTCATTGCACTTGTATATATATATATATATATATATATATATATATGCATACATACACACATACGTATATACATATATATATATGAAGTTTTGTCCTGTTGTTGATTACAGAGTTTGCAGAGGTCGCAGCGATTAGAGGATGTTTATGGTGCTCTGTTTTCTCGAGATTAACGCTATGAGGAAGAGAAGCTGAGACGGCAATTTCTCGCGGTATATTGGAGGTACGGTCATTTATCGCGGTATTTTGAAATTAACGGTCTTTTTATCGGTTAGACCATTCCCCTCTGATCATCAGATTGTTGTTGTGATGTTGCGTGGTGTCTGCACCAACGTAGAGAGGTTCATAGTGGTTCGAGTACACCAAATCGTTGATTCCCGCGCCTGAGTCCACACCAGAAACGTTTTTGTAATCACGTGACTCGTCACGTGAGACTGTTGGTCCCACAATGGCTGTAACTCTTTTGGGGAATGTCTAATAGTGTAGTACATTGGATTTACTCGTGGTCACGTGATTAATCACGTGAGGGTTGGTGGGTACCACTTGTGATTGTTTTTTGTCCGTTGGATCAATCCAACGGTTCTTAAGCACCACTCGTGTAAAATCAAAATCATGATAAAATGTGGTACAGTCTTATTGTAGGGAACCATGTGATCTTTTTGCATGATGACAAATGTTTGAAATCCTGACCAGAAAATTGATGTGAAAATTATGTGGTCAGTGTTGCAATAAGTAACATTTAAATTTCTTTGGAATTTGAAGACGGTACGAAAAATTCATTTATTTAGTTGAAACTTTTTAAAGAAAAATTGATTTGAAAAGAGTCCTATTTATAAAAAAACTGTTTTGTTTTAAAAATTCCTATTTTTAGAAAACATTTTCTAATTATGGTTCAAAATATTAATTTTATTGCTGGGTGTGTTCATTTGTGATTGGAAGGAAGCCTATGTTTGGTAACATAAAGTTTGTTACAAAGATTTTTTAATGCAAAAACATGAAAATGTGTTTAGATTTTTTGGAACTGTTTTCCGCTTGCAGTCTTTGGGTCTCTTTTGTGCAACAAATGAGGTACTATGCAAATGGCAACAATTGGTTACCAACGAAAACCAGCTCATTGAACCTTAAAAAGCTTGCCATTTTTCGTGGACTAACAAATAAACTAGCTCATTGAACTTGACCCGAACTGGTTTAATGAAAAATCAGGAACTGTTCTTCTCATACTCCTTGTTGGTTTTGTCTACACACAATGTTTGACATGGAGAAAATATTCAAGACAAACATAAAATTTGACATTTATTTTGCACAAATGTGGAACCTATGAAGAAGAGGTTTTCATGCAATACCCATCAAGTTTTGTATATTCCTCCCGTCCATCTCATATGTACAAGCTTCGTAAAGCGATTTATGGTATTCGAGGAGCTCCTCGAGCTTGGTTTTAGAGATTAGCTTATTCCTTCTTCCTCTTGGTCCTAATATTGATAACAATTGCGCTTTTTACTGTTGCCCTTTTCTCTTCATAATTCTAATTACATAAATTTCTTCCTTTTTTTAGTCGCTAAGTAATATTAAAGGCCACCAAAATTCAGAATTTATCACAAAATTTCAAAACAAAACACATAACTGCAAACACCACAAAATTACTACCTTTTCCACCTATACTCTGTGCGTTTGCATTATTTGTGCTCTTCCCTTGCTATATTAAATGGGATACATAGATCGTACGTGCTAATATGGGGAGTTGTCTATGAGTTAATCTGATTAATTTAGGAAGTTAGGTAACATTTTTTTTTTTTTCATTTTTTTTATTCAAAACCTTGCCAGGTAGAATATTTCGAACATTATGGTAGGCATACTTTTCACAAGTTGTTAAATTCTCTAGTAACCCACTCCTCCACCCATTTGATTTCGACAAAATATAATACTCTGATTACAACATTTGTGTTTATTACAGTGACAAGCATTTAGAATATTGAATTGAACTTCCAACACTATCTTTTTAGAAATATATCTTGGATCAAATATTCTTCTTCTTCATTCTTCTTATCTCCCTTCTGTTCATCCTTATCCTTTTCTTTTTACCTCTTCTAAATCCACCTTTTTTGCACTTTCAGAGGAAAGAAAATTGGAAACTCTCAAAGGCAAAACAAAAAGAAATTCCATATGCTGTTAATGGCCTCGATATTAGAGTTAAAGCAAAACACTTTTTCCACTTTGTTGAAACACTGTCATCATTGTCATTTTCATCATTTTAATCACAATATTCCCCTTCTAGTTCAAATATCTTTGTTTTGTTTCATAAAATCACTCAAGTATTCATATAGCTCAATCTCCTTCATATATCATCACTGTCATCATCATTATGTGATATTTTCCTTCAGATGGATTCAGTAAATCAAAAGGCAGTCACTCCAAGTAAGAGCAGATTGGCACGCACTTTCGCTAAGGTTTTGCACATTCGAGCTGTGACGGGGATTGCCCCAGTCGACGGGATTCAGAAAACTAAGTCCCATGAGAAGATCAAGCACGAGCACGTGAATGGTATAAGGACTGAGTCCTTTGATGGCGACGATGAAAAGCTTCGGGCCAAAGCAGCTACAGATGCTTTTCTTGCCAAATTGTTTGCCAGCATTTCATCCGTTAAAGCTTCGTATGCCCAATTGCAGTTTGCTCAATCTCCTTATGATGCTGATGGAATTCAATCTGCTGATCAGTTTGTGGTGACCGAATTGAAGAATTTATCTGAACTGAAGCAGTGCTATCTGAAGAAACAATTGGATGAGTGTTCCCCCGAAACTACACAACTGTTGGCTGAAATCCAGGAGCAAAAGAGTCTTCTGAAGACCTATGAAGTTATGGGTAAGAAAATGGACTCTCAGGTTAAGCTCAAAAACTCCGAAATTATATTTCTTAAAGAGAAGTTGGGGGAAGCCAACAGGGAAAACAAGCTGCTCGAGAAGAGGATAAATTCGAGTGGGCTGTTCTCTGTTCCTAGCAATTTTCAACTGTCAGGCCTGAGCCCTAGCCATTTTATTACAGTGCTTAGGCAAACAATCAAATCTATTCGGAGCTTTGTCAGGTTGATGATCAGTGAGATGGAATCCGTGGGGTGGGATTTAGATGC